TAATGAGTATGTGATGTATTGGTTGTGAAAATATCCCAAAGTGGTTAAATGAAAATAGTTTAATAAATTAATATTGATCAGTATAAATAATAAAATAAAAAAGTAATTAAAATAGTTTAATATATTAATGTCGATCAGTATAAATAGTAAAATAAAAAAAATTTTTAGTCCAATTTTTCATACTTACATGATCTAAGAGAGCAAACAAATCATAACTAACTTGGTCTGGTTTCTTGGCCCTAGTTAATTTTGGCACTAATTCTTTTCACTTGTCTTCCCGCTCTGCTGGTGTCAGGGATTGATAAATCTGTCTTTGGTCTACAGCTTTACATTCGATGCAAATAGATTCATAAACACAATTGTAAAATTTGACCTTACCAACTTGTATAGTGTACTAGTCAGATCAATACCACAAAAAAGCTCAGGTGAATATGGTGACGTTTAATAGTTAGAACTATGCAATAAATAGCATTGATGTTAATTTCAATGTATTCTATAATAATAACCAAGTCGAATACGAACCCAATATAGCAAGTTCTGAAAATACCTACCATCAAACAAATGTAATGTTTTCTACTTAGAACAATATGATCGGTGAAATTAATACCTTTTATGAAAATAATCAAACCAAATATAGTATTGAGAATTAAATTGAAAGTGAAAGTAATTTTATAATGAATTAGGGAAGAGCTTACCAAGGAGAATTTCAGGCTAATGCAATTTTTCATGACTGGGATTGTGTAGACAATAGATTCGATAAACTAAATAATAATCAAGTTGAATTTGATATTAGTAGTGGTATGTTACATGATATAAATTAAATTGGAACTAAAGTAGAGAATCTTGAAAGCATTCGACGTTATGAATTACAAGAAGGCATGGTAGGGTTAGGGTTAGGGTTAGGGTTAGTGTTAGAGTTGGTTAGCTATAGATAACAAGAGCGGAGTCAGAGGCGTTAGCCGGAGCGAGCGACTACAGAGTGAGCGAAGCGAGCTTTGTCGGTATTACTGAGCGTAGCGAAGAATACAAGCTGTATTGTCTTTAAGATTGTTGTCTATAGAGATTGTTTATTTGCGCGTTGCTGATGAATATAATTAGGAGCTATTAAAGTTGTTATACCTAATAAATATCAATTAAAATTAAAATAATTAAAAACTATTAACATTACTATAGCTCAATTATAATTAAAAAAATAATTAAAAGAATATAAAAAAAATTAAGAATGTTAAAGCCCGGTGCTACGCACCGGGTTAGAGACTAGTGCTACAATATATTTAGCCATCTTCGAAGTACAATTTACGCAGTAAAAAGTTAAAAAATAATTTGCATTTTAACGATAAACTATTAAAAAAAGTTATTCATATTTTTATTTAATTCTTATTAATACTGCAGTAATGTATAATTTTTCGATTTAATTCATTTATGCACAGCTACACTTAAGGTAAAGTAGGGTATTATGACGCGGGTGGATAATTTGACGCACTTGTTTTTTTTGATAATATACTGTGATACACTGATCAGAATCGAAAAATTTTTAGTACCATTCGATTCGTCTTAATGAGACGAATCAAATTATATAAATTTTTTTTGGTTTAGCTGTTAAATTACAGGATAACGTACAACGCTGCATATAGTACCCCTTTGAATTAGTACCCTTTAAATAGACTTTCTTTATAGTACCCCACACAATACCCCGGGGGTATTATTTAATTTATCTTGGCATTTTTGAAAAAGACCAGTGATACTGTATGCAGCGCTGTACGGTATAAATAAAAGTTGATAACTTATGCCAGTATTAAGTTCCTTTTAATTTTACTATATTTCCTCATTTGGGTAATCTCCAGAAGAAGGGTGCTACAATACAATACGAACACATAATGAACATAATGCGCCATAATACCCAAATGTAAAAAACATAGCATTTTTTTTAGTAGATTTTGAAATTTCATATTTCAAACTTTTTTTTATAAAGCCGATTTTTTTTTTTATTGGCAGATAGTTAATTCGATGAGAAATCTATTTCAAGAATAAATATATTTTTTCTGGAAATTTATATAAATATATAGTATATATTAAAATTGTTGAATAATGGTAATTTGGCAAATGAGCACGTGCCGCAAAGCAGCACGTGTAGCCAACCATTTGTCAAATTACCGTATTCGACAATTTTTGCCCAATAATGATGTTACCCGGCAATTTATGATCATGATTGGTAGGGAGTCGGTCGCTGAGTTTTAATTTTGAATACTGGAATAAACATGATTACATAGTAACACATGAAAAAAATAACAAAAACATGATCATATGGGTTTGCCGGATAAGTAACTCAAGTGCGTCGGTTACGCCAAGACTTCGATGACGTTAATTTATCATGACTAATAATGATAATTAATTAATTCTTGCATAGACGCACTTATGAACACATAAAAGGTTTTAATTAGTCTACAGCTCATGCATACATAAACAATTAGCATCTTATTCTTTTACGTTTCTTGCAAATTTATTCGCTTACACAAAGATCTTTGATTATCAATCTATCTAGCGACATTACCCGGGTAAGTGCCACCCGGGTAGCTCATGGGTCCCCGCGGGTGACCCGGGTGGCATTTTTTTGACGGTCCAATCACTAATTTCAAATATTCATATTTGCAAATACGTATATTGCAAATATATAAATATGCAAATGTGCAAATATAAAAATATGCAAATGTGCAAATATATAAATATGCAAATACGCTATATAAAATCTTACCAAATTCGTGCATTTTCTAAAGTAATAACAGATCTGTAACGTGAAAATCAAAATAATCATTATAAAAGTTCTTTATTTTTAGAGTTAAATAATCATTCTTACAAAATTTCCAAAAGAATTTTATAGTTGAGTGTTAAATAATTTTTATTTAAATAATTATTCAAACAGCTATTCATGGTTTATTATTCTATAATAAATGAAAACGTGTAACTTTTCTCAACCTTTTTATCTAAAAATCATGACAAAACCAAACCCAATAATTATATTCTTGATTATTATTTTAATCTATATAAGTTATTTAATCTCTTCGTTATTCGAATTTTCCAATAATTTACAAAATGAGATTAAAGAAATTAAACCTTCGAATCGAACACTTGGCTTCGATCATATTTATGTTGTTAATCTTTATTATCGAACTGATAGACGTGACAGAATGGATAAATTAGCTTCTTATCTTGATTTAGATTTTGATTATTTTAGTGCCGCTTCCAGATATGATAATAGCCTTTTTCGAAAATATGGTTACGGTGAATTATCTCCTAGTAGAAGAGCTTGTTATCTCAGTCATTATATGATTTATAAATCTATAATTGATGAAGGCCTAAATAATGCTTTAATTCTAGAAGATGATGTTGATTTCGAAACTAATATCACTGCAATTACGACTGAGATTCATCGTAGTTTACCCGATTATTGGGATACTTTGTATATTGGTCATTGTTATGAAAAAATAGGTAAACTTGTCGATAATAGCTCTTTTACCAACAGACTATATGAATCAGTGATGCCAGCTTGTACACATGCTTATGCCGTTTCGAATTGGGGTGCCCGCAAGTTGTTGGAAAAACTTGATCCTATGGTACCACATGATGCAATTGATTTAGCACTTCTCGAAAGAATTAAGAATAAAGAGATCACTTCATATAGTGTTCATCCAATGCCTATTATACAATGGAAAAGTGAAGATAATCCATCTGATGTTCCTGAATCACTGGATACCTATTTTAGTTTAAAAAATTCTACCTTACAATTCCTTGGGTATACTTAATTATATTTTTAGTTATCAAACTTATTTGTATATTATATTCACGTATAATATTGTACACAGTAATATTTTTTCGTGTTTTTCTTCTTTAATTTTGTAGTTGTTAAGCATGCTCTTGCATATTTTTCTTAATATTAGATTTGAGTACGTACCATATATTCAATTTTTTTTACCTATTGTTAACCATTACGTTTAATAGAGTTTATGAACATAGCGTAATTATGATCAATTTCCAAATTGAATTAGCAATATGATCTTGAATAGCTTATAGCATCTATAATATGTTAATATTATAATTAAAAAGTGAACCTTATTGGACTGGAGCAGAGGGAAGTGGAGTGTAAGACTTTTCTATGGTCTACTAATTTGAGTCGATGTCCGGCTTCCACCTAAGTAATTATCTAAATCAACTTTAACAATCATATCCCCTGTAAAAATTTGGTTTGAAATTTGATTATTTAAAAAATTATATGATAAATTAAATAGACTAATAGACATTATAAATAAAATGATAATTAACGTAATATAAATAAAATAGACGATTATCAAAACTAATTAAAAGCTAATTAATAATTTGTATTATCGCTATAAAAATTAATAAAAAAATTAAATCTTTAAGTACCAAAAAAAAAGCTCACGACAAATTATAAGTAAAATAAACAATAAAAAATTGATAGAAACTAAAAGTATAGTTACTAAATTGTTAAAATCAAGCAGCAAACTTTTTAACCTATTTTAAAGCTCGAATAATTAATACTGAGAGCGAAGTTAGATTTTAAAGATTTAACCCTTTCGTATAATAAATAAGGTAGCTGCGCAATGCAGTTGCGCAAAATCAAGAATGGATTTCTAAAATATTATTACTGGATGTTAGACGCGTCATTAAATGTCAGGCAAGTTTAAACCTTTTTTAAAATAATTTTAAAGTATAAATTTTATTATAGTGATGGCGATTTGTGGATTTCTTCAATATTCCACGTGGTAGAGGTTAAAGTATACCCCAGTATCGCCATCAAAAATTCATCCCACGTGATTTTGACTATAATTTGGTGTAACGTAGCACGAGCAGGAACGAACTTCTCTTTTGTAAAAGATCGCTTATTTTTCAAACGCTTGCATAAGAAACCGCCTTTCAAGCACTAACAACAAGATTTTCTTGAGTGATTTTACTATATAAACACCTAAACCCAAACCCTAATCTAAAAGAATTTTTATCGTTAGTCACACGGGGGAGAATTTTGATGGCGATATTGAACAAAGACTGTACTATCAGGCGTAGCATGAAATTAAATAATCATTCTAATAGTTAATGCTAGAATGAGAAAGGCTATTATAAGATCATTCTAACAGCTCTTTAGGGATACTATTAAACATTTGTATTAGAATGGTTGTATTACATATTAAAATTTTACAAGAAATTTATTAGTAATGAAAATAGAATTACAAACTATATTTTTTTGCTTAATTAATAAATTGCCTCTTTTTCTTTTTTATTTTTGTGCTAAACTTTCGGTGAGTAATAAACGAGTCTCTACAATTATTTAGTTGAAATAACATACTGTATTTTCACGGAATAATGTGCAGGGTGTAATTTGAATTTTCGCCTAAATTCGGGCCAAATTTCGAAATAACGCTCACGGGCGTTATTCCGAGATAATATTGTAAAATTCAAATGTTATAGTCTTTTATTATTTTGTTTCCGTTATTATGTATTTCAATATGGTGCATAAGTTAGACTCTTCTCAAATATGAACTGCATCACAGACAAACAAAATTTTAATATATAGGCTAAATGTTAGGCTCGTCATTAAGGCCAGGCCAATTTGATTCTCTGTTTTACATTACATCCCTTCAGACCTTCCCCTCGGTGTTAAAAATTCATCACAAATATGCTGTGTAAAAAATTTTTTTTATACAGGAGTGTTATCGTTATCCAGTGTTAGAAATCTTATGTTCACGGTGTTCACAGTGAACATAAATTTTTGAAAAAAATCAAAATTTTTATATTTTATATTTTAAGTCTTATAATTCTTGTTTATAATTTATTAAATAAAGATCGTATTTATGTTAATACAAGTGCAATAGAGTGCTGCTAGCCCTTATCAGATATATGATAAATTAATATTAATAAAATATTTGTAATTTGAGAGTTTTTAATTTTATATATTAATTATTATAAATTATATTTGTGAACATTATAAAAAAAACTTATGTTCACAAAAATCATTAATTTTTTTTTTGAATTTCTAACACTGGTGTTATCGGTATTTTATTTTTTGCGCATTGCAAAATACACGATATATAAAAAGAAGACGCAACCATGTGAGTTTTAGCCAATCATCAGTGTAACATGCGAATCAAATAATTAAATAAAACAAAATAATCATTCTAACAGCTTTTTATGGTCAGTGTTAGAATGAGAAAGTTCATATTATATAGGGGATCCGAGTAGAAATTGTTGTTGCATGACTACCCGAAATGCATAATAAATTACACCAATAACTCTGGTAATTTAATAATACCCAAGTAAGGCAACGGGTCCAATCTCTAGTATTACAGTCGACCTCTCTAAGTGTACCCCTTCGGGGCCATAGAAAAAAAATTGAGATATGCATACTTAGAGAGGGTGTGTATTTATAGAGAACAAAATATAGAGCTTTTATAAGCTGGACCCGACTTTATTGTGTATTTAGAGAGAATTTGCATAATCTTGTATTTAGGGAAGTGAACTTAGGAAGGTCTGACTGTAACAGCTCATATAAAACTGCAGTAAAATTATTTTTTAACTTTTAATGAATATTTTGTTGACAACAAGCCATTCTAATTTGATAATTTTTTTTATTATAATTTTATGATCCTGCAGATTAAGGGTAGAGGATACTATTTGCAAATTATATATAAACTAATGATATTTTTTTTCTTTTAAAATTAAAGAAAATTTTATTAAGTAAACTAGTTTTAAATTCCTAATAAACAATAAAGAACAGGTCTTTCTGATTCTAACAGTAGTAAAATTATTAAAATTGGTTAAATATTCATTGAGATACATGTATTTAAACATTTAGTATTATAAATTGTTTATAAAAATCATATGGGGGTTGTTGCAGTAGAAAGGGCTGAAAATTAGAAATATATAATCTTGAGAAAATTATATTTACTTTTTTGGGCTGATCTAGGTTAATCAAAAATTATACGATTTAGTTAGCTGGTTATATTGGGTAATCTCATGATGCACAAGTTTTCTAAAAAGTTTTTTTAAAATATCTTGATTTTTTATTATGCAAACTAATTTCTATTTTTAATTGAAAAGTATAGCC